ACAATTTGATTCAAATCATATGATGATACACAGTGAAGATAAATCTAACCAAATCAATGTCAAATTAAACTCTAATTTCTGTAAAATTAACGGTGCCCTGAAATAGCTCTCTCTCTCTCTCCCATTTGTCCTCAACCCCTAAGCCCTCTAAAGGAACATTTACAGATTCCTAATTTTTTTTACAGATTCATGATTTTTGTGACTTTGGGGCTTTCTTTCTTGTGTGCAAAGGATTCTACGTTTAAAATGTGTACAATGCATCATCAGTTTAAAGAAACCCAATCTAAGTTTGTTTTTGTTTTTGAAACTTCTGCAGGACATTTTACAGACGGAAAAAGAAAAGTTACATTGAACTCCAGGTATGGTCATCATGTGCAAATATATGATGTAGCTTTAGCAGGAAAGCTGGGACTCTGGGTCATTCTCTTTCAACCCTTACCAGAAGATACTGTACAGCAGTGGCACACAGAGTGTATAACAAGTTAAATCTAATTGATTTTACCACTGGGACATATTGAACAAGGATTTTAAAGATGGATCCTCTTTATGGGTGGCTCATTTATACAGCATGGTTTTATCTTCTCAGTTGTGACAATATCAAAGCAATGAAGATTAAAAAAAACAAAAAACAAAAAAACTTCACTGAAACATCAACAACTGAAAGATAAACAACTCAAATCTTTTGTGAAAACTTTTTTTTTTTTTTTTTTTTGGGGGGGGGTCGAATACAGTCAATGAAAAACGACTATGACTTGAGAGAACCCTTCAAAATGTTAACCTTTTAGTTTTATATATGTAGATATATATATGATAGATATGACATCTCCATATAAATGTAACTCAGGCTGCATACGCAGACATCACAGGTAAATGTGTGCAATTTCAGACGAGCCTTCTGTGGAGGAGAAGATCCAAACATATCTCTGAGAAAAGTTTCAAAAAGCACCTACTTCCCTCCTAAAGTAGCTCTACGTTTGCCTGTAACAAATACTGTACATCTGTCATAAAACTTTGAAAACCTCAGCCCTGCTCACCATAAAACAAAAGCAAACTCTTTGTTTTTTTATTTTCTTTAATAAATGTATATTTATATAAAAAGATATTTAACAGTGAGCAACACAATATAGTTCAAGTAATAGAGTAAGGGATTTTTTGAGTGCCCTATCGAAAAACTCTGCTTAAAAAAAGACATCATCTTGTTGATAATTTTGGGAGTACACTATTGGAAGTCATGAGGGACAAAGCCTCTTGAGGTCAGGACATTAAAAATGTCCAAGTCATGGGGATCTTGTTTAATCAATGAGAATGACTGAAGTATCAATGCAGAAAAAAAACAAAAAAACAAAATAACCAAAAACCTGATTTACTTCTTTTTTTTTTGTTTGTTTCAAATTGCTGGCTTCATTGTGTGGTAGTTTCTACGGTAAACTTGAAAACCCCTGAGGATTAATGATCAGAAGCTTTGTTAAGGAGACATGAGACGTCTGCCGAATTGAATGAGCCTGCATTTCCGGTAGTACCTTGAGAGTTACGATTATCATGTGTCTGTTTTGGATAAGCGTGACTGTGGTGATTCAAAAGAAGAAAAAAAAAGTCGGCTTTGAACCAGTACTGGTCCTTTTAAACATTCAAGATTATGTCAGTAAATAGCGTGTTTCTGTCCCTTGTAAAAAAACAAAGACTTCCTGTAGCTCTCAGTGCAAGACAGCAGATGCAAAACTTATAAATTCAGAGTCTAATTTTGAAGGATGTCTCACACAAATGAGATACTTTGCAATAGATTTACTACAGCATAATTGCTCATTCTTGCATGGTCCTACCGATAACTACAATAGATTCTGGCATCTGTATCTGTTGATAGAGTGATGTGATATACTTGACATAAATACTGGACTTGATATCTGCGAAAAACAAAAACAAAACAAAAACAAAAAACAGCTAACATCCTATTAACAAATTTACTCTGAAACATTAAGTGAATCCTATGTGCAATCTGTAAAGCTTGTCATGAAGGAGAGTAGCTGTAAAACTGCAATATCAAAAATTGGAAAAAGCACTGGAAGCCTCAACAGAAAAAAAAAAACATCAACAGATACAACATGCAAATAGAAGAAAAAGGTGTCCGGACAAGGTTGTTTGAAATTTAGCGGCCTGAGACACTCCCTTCAGACTGCAACAAACCAAAGAGTTAAAACTTGTGTTTTACAAGTAGCCCCTAAAATAGGACACAGCCAACATTTAACCATATTTTTCATTCTGCACAAGTCGTTACCCATTTCTACCTGGTAGTTTTAGCTAAACTGGGATGGTAGAAAAGGACTACATGAGCTAGCAGTATGTTCCCAACAAAATCAAAATTGGCATAACGTCACCAACTAAACAGCTGGTTTGTGACTAGGTTTGATGACTTAAGTCTTGTTGTCTCTCGCTACTTTATCAAATATGCCATGTTACTGCTTGTAGGATGTTTTTTAGCTGTTTATGCAGTTGTGCCTTGTTTTTAGGGTCCTTGCAAGTTGTGTGCGCTCCAACTTTGCCTCAGCATTGACATCCTTACATTGACATCTTTGCAGTACGTACTGCATGCTTCAACTGATTTTTGTCTATTGTGTAATGGACTGTAAATGCTCAATCTTGTTACACTTATTCAAGAATATTTGCATGACGGGGAAGGAGAACCTTTCACTATTAATGGCTTTCAGCTACACAAACCTCACCTCCTCTTCAACCCTGAGAGGAGTATAGATGGAAACAACCAAAGTTTTGTCATTCTCTTACAATAGTTCCTTTGCAGCTTCTCAAACAATGAAACTCTTCTTAAAACCTGACACACTCTTTCAGACAAACCACAGTGTAGCCCTGCAACTAACTATTGTAACTGTCGAGGCTGTCATTTATTTCCTCTATTCATCAATTAGTTGCTTCTTCTCTAAATGTCAGAAAAAAAGTGAAAGCCTAAGAGGACATTCTCAAAGACCAGTCAGTCATAGAGGAAGAAAGAAACCAGAAAAAAATTCACATTTAAAAAGTTGCAATCGGAGAATTTAGACTGTTTTGTCTTACAAAATTACTCAAAACAGTCCATGCTTAATTAAAATAGTTAGTGAGTAATTTAATTGTTGACAACTAACCAATTCATTGTTCAAACTCGATCACAGTGTGTGCATGATCTGTTGTTTGTGGCCCATACATCATACTGTGAATACACCACAGACAACGGGTGGTGGGATGGGCGATGGGGTGGTGGTGGGCCTGCTTTGTTTAACCATGTAACCAGCGTTGGCTCGTCTTTCTTTCTTCCTTTTTTTTTAAACCAATGCAAACCAGTCTGTATCTCATTTATTTTAGAAGGCTGGGGGCAGTGGAGAACAGCTGCCTTTGCTTGCCATTACCTCCCGCCCCCACCTGCCAACAGCCAATTAATGACAAAGAAATGGTGTTCTCTGAAGTTTTTGAATTTATTATTTAATTGTGTGATGCTCCAATGCTTCCACTGGTTATAAAGTCAAGCACCGGGCAATAAGTATTGAGTTAAAAACAATTAAATAAAAAGAGAAAATTTTCAGTTCAGACAATCAGACAAACAAAACTGAAATTCACTCAAAGCTTGACTGTGCACTCTGATTATTTCTTAGTGCATCTCACTTTGACTGCTTAACTACATGAACACAAAGCTGGATTGCACGTTCTTTCAAACTTTCAAAATGTCTTCTAAAGCCTGTGTCTTTAGCTTGAGATATTGAATCCTTCTAGCTACTCTTTCTGTTCCCTATAAAATATTTATTCAAAGCTTATTATTTCTGAATAATTAGAACAAAAACACAGTCTCAGTTTTGTTCTTTTAAACTTAGTCATGGAGCATGTAACTCACTTAAAAAAACAAACAAACAAAAAAACACATAAAATTCAAGTGTTGTGGTCAGATTTTGTCTTCATGCTTTTCTTCCAGAGAATGACTTTGGTGAACTGACCACCGTGAACCTTTTCTTGTCTGCAGCATTTTTGACCTCAGCCTTTCTGTAGCTTTTAATTCAGACCTATCACAGATAAACAGAGTGGACAGCAGTCTGTACAAAATCATCATTTTATCATTGTGGGTAAATGTGGGTTAGATCACAAGAGTACTTTTAAAGATGCCAATCTCTGCTGGGAAACAGGTAAAAACTTTTTTCTGATGAGAGCTACGCCTAATTATTCTTATATCCTAATTGTCAAATTGCCTGTTTTGACCGACCACCCATCAGAGAACTAATTATGTTTGACATTTTGTTCATGGCAATAACTGTAAACATCTTCAGTTGCGGATTACTCTTCCATTCATGAACTGATCTAGCTTCAGTTTTGACTCGTCCCTTTCAGCTTACATAGGCAAAGCTAGGTGACTGAGTATAGAATGCCATGCAGAGTGCTAGAGTCAAAAATGGAGCTCATTTAAGTGCTTCTTACTTGACGATCTGTATTAGCAGAAAGTCCTGGCGGTTCCGTTTATGTACCATTTGGTTTTCAAAAAAAGGCTATTTGGTGCACAAGCATGTGCCCTCTACGTGTGGCCTCAAACACACCATTCATTTCCTTTTCTTTACTTCTATCGGAATTTGCAAAAAGAAAATAAAAAAATGGAAACACACACTGGAAGAATCTTTGCCCTCCCCCTTTCCCCTCCCTCTCTACAGTAACTTTGGTCTCTGGTTTTGATCTGTGATGTTGCCATATACACATCGGCAAAAAAAAACAAAAAACAAAACCCAAAAACTATGTTCCAGTAAATCAAAAATAATTTAAACACTCTACAGTTAATATAAAAACAACTCTTTTGTCCTTCTGAAGACTACAAAACTTCGTCATTTGTGCACTCCCTCCCCCATTCACCCCCCCCATCCTCCCAAACCCCTAAGCAGCGGTCTACATAGAAGAACACCTACACATTAAGTGTGATGTCTCGTAATGCTACATTATTTTATCTTTACGTACAGAGAGCGATGAAAAATTGACACATGACATTATCGTCTCCTTTTGTATTTACCACAAGCAAGGTTACGTAAAAACAATAGGAAATATCTGAAACATAAAGACGACTCCAAAACATAAACATTGTAATATCTGAGATGAAAATGAGGAAAAAATATGACAAAAACAAACTAAATGTTTTAGGATGGGAATGTTTTGTTGTTGTCTTTCATTCTTGTGGTGTTTGAGTTTCTGGTAAAAAAAAGTCTGAGCTAAAATTTAGGTAGCAGCGGGGTCAACCTGAAACTCTGAAGTCTCCTACTTCGTTTCCTTCCGTCCTGCGGTCACTTTCTTTTCACATTCACAAACATTTACAACTTTCTTGTGCAAATCAAGCAGTCTTTAGACAGAATGCCCTCCGAAATTGTTCTTGTAAAAATATATAACTCCAAGCTGGCTGACGGGTGTTGCAGCAAGTGTTAAATTTATATCTTTCTATATTTATCATGTCTGGTTTTGGGGTTGTTTTGCTTTTTAAAAATCCCACCCTCCGCCTTCCTTCACTCTCCCAGTACTGTCTTCCCCAAGAAGAAGTTTCCTGTTGTCTGTTTGCGGGGGTGAGGTCAGGTGGGTGTGGTTCATCTGCGTCCGGTGGGTATCTGTGCGTAGACTGGGTAGGCGAGGCGCACATTGAGCGAGTCATTGTGCTGCACCAGGGAGGTGTGGTGGTAGTGAAGAACAAGGTCCTTTAGGCTGCTGTACAGGTTGTAGGGCTCAGCAAAGCCAAAGCCCCGCGGTGTGCTGAAGATGACGCAGTGCTTCACCTCACCTTCAACACTGGGTGGACACACATGAGAGCAGTTCAGTTAGGCAGGAATTTAGATGTGTAGTCATTAATCAATCAAGGTTTTCTGTTTGCAAGAAGGAAGTTGTTTTTGTCATCCTGATGTTAAGAAAAAAAATACTTCATACATGTTTCTTAAAAGCTTCCAATCTTAAATCACTACTTTCAGAGGGTTCACTTAAGGCTTCCGTTTGTCAAAAAATTACACTCTTACATATTACATATATACAAAGTCAGTTACCACCAAAGTAAATCAATCATAGTCTCTTTTAAACCATCTATTTTCAATGCTTTGTCCTCCTTCCTTAATTTTTACCCTGCTGCTATCTTGTCATTTGGGATGTCATGAAAATGCTGCTACTTTGGTAGCAAGTTGATTCCAAAATTCTGAAAATGTAATGGTACTAATTTACTTTTTACTAATTTACTAAAGTATTGTACTATCATAGGTAGCCTTATGAAATGGCATGGGCAAGTCCAGGTTGAGCAACAAGTCCGCAGAAACTTGTGAAAAAACAAATAAACTAAAAGGGTGGAGATTAAGGACTGAGTTATAGACAACCAGAGGTCAGAATGCAAATGCCGTGTTTGTGTTTGTGTGTGTGTGTGTGTGTGTGTGTGTGTGTGTGTGTGTGTGTATGTGTATGTGTGCGTGCAGCCTCTGGTTTTTCACAAACTCAGCATGAAGATGATTTTGAAAAGAGGGCTGTGCTACAAAGCAAGTTTGACATAGCCAAGCTTTCTTTGTGTGAGTTGGCTTAAAAAACCTAAAACCCCAGTCAGAGACAACAGGCATCATGAAGGTGATTATCAACTTTCTTTGTTAACCAGGTTTTCTTCTTCAGACTCTGCTTGCTCACATAAAAGGAGGTGTTTAATGTGCCATGTGACTCTTCTTTTGCACAAAATAGACCAATTGTGTGTCACATACTTCAATTAACAGGTTGTTTTATTGGAGAGCTAAGAGGAATAGTTAAATTTCTGATACTGAAAAGGGCTGCTATTGCAAATTATTCAAAACAGTGATGCTGTTAAACTTTACACTTCATACATTTAAACATGATATTGTATTGGTGTGCATTTAAGTCTGACACTGTGTCATAATGAAGGTAAATCACAAGTGAAATAAATGTCATTGACTGAATATTCTCTTTAATAAATACCAATAGAATAATCAATATCCTAACTTATTTTCTATCAGTACCAGCAAAGTAAACTGACTTAGGAGCAAATCTGGACCAAACATGAAAACATACTTATATGTTTTATATATATTTATATTCATATTTATTGCTCCATTCTATTGCTTGCTCTCCATCTGCTATCCTGCTATCCCCACCCCTCATCCCCACTCTCACCCATCGTGTCGAGGCAGATGGCTGCCTCCCTGAGCCTGGTTCTGTCTGAGGTTTTTTCCCCCCCTCCCTATTAGTGGGGGTTTGGTTCCGTCCCACCATCGCCAACCGCTTGCTCAGACGGAGTCCAAAGGCAACTTTGGATTGTTGGGTTCTCTGTTTAAATTTGTAAGGTCTATATCTTACTTAGTTAAGCGCCATGTGATGACACGTATTGTAAACTGCGCTGTACAAAAAAAAATTTAATTGAAACTGAATTGTTTTCTGCATCACCAACTGAATGCACATAGGTTCCCATGGCAATGCAGTATACAGTGTGAAATCCTGTAAGCGCATGGCTTCATACAGTGGTTTTAGTAAAGCATAGCTCAACAGGTTTACAGATATTACATATTCACTCAGCTGAGAATTGGTTTCAAGCAAAGAATCACTAGAAAAAAAACTGGTGAAAGCGAGACACTTCTTACAACCCATTTAAATGCAAAACTCATAACATAATAAGAACATAACCGGCTACTGACCGGGCTAGCTCCACAGCACAAGCTACTGTCGTGATCTAGCCAGGTAAAAAGAGAGACACCTTAATGACACTAAAGACTCTGGCTACATATCTTGCAAACCCTCTACCCTTGCTTTGTAGGACAGCCCACTGGAGAGACAGGCACAAAGTAGACCAACACGTTCACAGAAACTATATCTGAAGCTTTTTTAAAGGTTCATAAATTATGACAAAAACTCAAATCAAAAATCACGTCAACACGTATCGGGTTGGTGCAGGCCACCAAAATGTTTGGTATTAGGACAGCCTGACTTGTTCTAAACTGCTTTGTTTGTTTTACAGAGTTACCAGATTATTATGTGAATCCTATAACAGCTCCGGCATAACATTTCCTTTCTGTTCAGACTGTGAAACAGAAGAGCTGATTAAAACTTCAGAAATGTTCTCAGCAATGGTGCTGTCTAGTACTGCAATATTTTGAAAGGTGTCCTCCTTCATTTACATACATAAGACAAGTATTAGAAAACCAGAAATCTTATTTTGTGTACTCACACTACAGAGCAGGCATAGCAGCCCTTTTTACTGCTTTCTCGTATAAGAAAAGCGCCATCCAGCTTCCCAAGGAGGAGCTCCTCTGCTTGTGTCCTGTTCAGATCCCCAACGAACCAGCTCTTCTCATCGTAGTGAGGTAAGTTCTCATCCTCCTCACTCACAAAGTAGCCTCTGCACACACCATCAGTTACACATGAAATACACTGTCAACAATAACTTGCAGAGGAAAAAAATGCTTTTCAGTATTTTAACATTTGCTCTATGGACATTTAAATAAGTATGGTTACAACACTAATCCCCTTTGCTTCAATTACGTATTTATCAAAAGGTAGTAAAATACAGAAGTGGAGACTCACTCGTCAGTGTTCTCATTCTTGATTCCAAGCCAGTCGTTAATTCGTTTCTGGCGAACTCCTTTGTGATTGAGCCAGCTGGAAAGAGAGATTATTATTTCATTTACAAAGTAGTTTCTGGGGCAGTAAACAATCACGACATTGAATAGAAATCAGATTTGCAGACCTACAACAATGTACCAATCACCATGACTTGGCATGAGGTCCCTTCTGCTCAAATTTTACTCAAATTTTTCCCAGAATAAAGCCTAAAATCTCTAATTGAGCAGCTTGAGGACCCTGAGACACAAATGTGGCCTAAGTGATATGAGTAGATATTGTGAAAAATATGAAACTATAAAATTTATTTCATTGTTTATACTCTGTTATATCTTTAATATCTTTGCGTGATTCTTAATGATTTGTTGAGAATTTCAGGTAATTCAGTCGAACAGGCAAAACATTCATTCCCAGGTTTGATTCTTTTATGTGTAAACTATTTCTCCACTGGTTTTGCTAAAACTGACTTTCTAACATCATAGGTCTACATCTCTATCACCAAGTCTTAACTCATGGAAAGTTCTAGGTACTGCTTAGTTAACTAAGCGTGTATAGCACCCCCCAGAGGTGAACTACACATCATCATCATCATCATCATCATCATCATCATCCATCCATCCATCCATTTTCTATACACCGCTTAATCCTCACTAGGGTCGTGGGGGGGCTGGAGCCTATCCCAGCTGACTTAGGGCGAAGGCAGGGGACACCCTGGACAGGTTGCCAGGCTATCACAGGGCATCATTATCATCATCATCAAGTGAGCTCATAGTCATGGTTGATTTAAAGAAGTCGACCCAGGCCATGTTCTTTGTACATGGATAACCAGGGAATTCAGATAAGAATGTAGATGCCTGGACTTGTGCTTTTCACTGTAACAAGAGACTGGGTTAGAAGAGAGCCTGAGTCTCAATCATCTACAACTTCTAAAGCTAAATTTCTAATTTTGATATTCATATCAGACAGAGTGTCACCTTCTTAAAGTTACAAAAAAAGACCCCAAACTGTCTCATGTCTTTCAAACCAAGATCTTGCGAAATGCTTTTTTTGTGACCATGGTAGATCAGTATTTTTCTAAAACTGTCCTCTGAAGCCCTTGACTCATCCTCTATCAAGACCTCTTCTGATTTCGACTATCTATAAATCACCACATCAAGAGGTCTAAACTAACCCAAAAAGATCTTTTTGATCTCATCAAGCTGTAACACTGTATTAGTGATTGTGTTTTTTATGCCTTATATTGTCTTATGTACTTACACGAGATACTGGTCTCTGATCTTGCGGAGCTGTATGAGATCAGGCTTCAGGCTGTTCATCTTTTTGTCCGTCTCACGGTTTTCCATGGCTTGCGTCTTCAGGTCCTGCTCCAGCCGGACTTTACTGTCGTGAATCTCACCGAGCCGAGATTTGAGCTTTTCATAGTTTATCATGATCCGCTCAATCTCCTTGTCATTACCCTCACGGCGGAAGCGCTCAATGTAGTCCTTGCTGTACCGTTCCTGTGTGTGGCACTGCTCCTCAAAGATCTTGATGGTCTCGTTGAAAGCTTCGATGGCTGTCCGCTTCATCTGGATCTCCTGAGGGACAAGAAGACAGGGTAAGTGAGAGAGTGGATGAGAAACATGACAGTTTCTTTTCTGTTAAAAGCAGAAAGACAGCACTTGTGTACCTGTGATGTCTTGGTGTATTCTTCGTACAGTCTGTCGTAGTCTTTGCTTTTCTCCTGGTACTGATTGTGGTATTCCTGCAACTTCTTCCCTACAGCATCAATGTTGTCCTCCTTTACCAGTTGGTCCTGAGATATTGAAGAACAATGAAGAGCATTGTTGACAGAGTGATTCACTGAACAAGAAGGCAGGGAAAAGGAAAAGGCTTTATGCAAAAGTGTGAGACATCAATAAATTAAGAGCTTTTTGTAAAGAAGGCACGTGGAAAAATGCAGGCACTCGTTGGATCCCTTTGCCCCTGTTTCTACTTGTCAAGGGTGACTCTGAAGAGGGTAGTTAATAAACCACCCACAATATCCTGAATGTCCCACAAAGTGTGCATTCTGGGAGGCATTCTATAGCTCTGAGTAATGACTTGCCTGACAAACCATGGATGCATGCAATTATTTAAGCAGTGTGTCAAGGGTGCGAACTGAGCAATATTTCAGTGAGCAGTAATCCTGCTGCTGTTGTAGTTTGAAGTGGAAACACCCAGCACATACTACCTGGTATACAGGAGGGGTGGGTGGGTGCGATAAAACGAGAAGAAACGTTGTCAAATACAATACAAACGGATATAAAGATTAGTAGGAGGAAGTAAGATTCATAAGATCATGAAATAATACAACTTTTTAAAGCAAGCTGAGTCCTATTTTTGTATTTTTCCCTGTTGGTTGTGATCGCATTTGGCTCACCCTCATCACTACATAGCCCTGGCAGACCACTAGAGCGCAACAAATGAAACTGACGATGGTGTCAGTATTTCAGTTCATCCCACAGGTATTTGATGGGGTTGTCAAATTCTTCCACACATATTAGGAAACCTTAGTTTCTCTTTATGGATCTGGCTTTTTGCATGGGCCCTGTAAGATTAAAGCAGTAAATCTAACCTTTATCACATGTAACCTTTTCTTAAAGGCTGTGGACATTTTTTTTCTTCTTACCTGTGTTAACTACTTATCCCCATAACAAAAGTACACAAAAGTGTGTTGACAGCGGTGTCCACATGGTTACAATACTGTGCATGCTTAGGAACTTTGCATTTATGATGAATTGTTCTGTGACAGCAATCACCTAATTTGTCTAAAACAAAACTTGTTGGAAAATGTGATATTCTGACTGAGATTAAAAAATCTTGAGCTGTAAAAACTCTGAATTTACATTAAAAAGGTCATTTACATAGTGTGTATCATCTGGGATGGATGTGTGTATAGATGTGAATATATACATAATGACGGTCATAGGCTTGCGTGTGCTGACCTGTTGAAAACGAGAGATGGGGTACACAAGTTTGACATCCAGCTTGGTGTTGTATTGAGCCAGAGACTCATGTCTGTAGTGGCTGATTAGCTCTACCACTGAGCTGAATGTCAGGGGGTCAGAGAAACCATATTTTCCATCTCTGTGATATATCTTTATTAGCTTGTTGTTGCCTCCCTTCCTAAAGAAAGAATGAAAAGAAACAGAGCAAAGAAGTAAGACAATGAATACACACCATATTAAAACCTCTCCAGCAATAAAGACTGAAAATGCATCCCAACATAGACCATCCATCCATTGTCTATACACCGCTTAATCCTCACTAGGGTCACTAGGTCACCAGTCTATCACAGGGCCACACTTAGAGACAGACAACCAAGCACACTCACATTCACACCTACGGACAATTTAGAATCACCAATTAACCTCAACATGTGTGTGGCAGGAAGCTGGAGAGAACCACTGCAAGGGGAGAACATGCAAACTCTACGCAGAAAGATTCTGGTGCCCCCACCGGGACGCGAACCGGCAACCTTCTTGCTGCGAGGCAACAGTGCTACCAACTGCGCCACCCTGCAGCCAACATAGACCAGTTCTCCTTAATATTTACACACTAACAGCCTACAGGTCAGATTCACTTACTCCTGAAGCACTTTATTTTCAGGGATGTGGGCCATTTCTTTTAATTACCTAGGACGCTGCTCAGGCAAAATGCTCCTCAACACAATTTCCCTCAATCTGTTGCAAAGTAGATGAATAGTTGCATTAAAGTAGAAAAGAAGAAGTACTCCACTACTCTAGCAACCTAAATAAACTCCCCTGTGGTTTTAAATGCATACAATTCACAATGCTCTGAGACAGATTTAAAAGTTTCTGTGTAGCAGTATTACCTCAGTGTGAGTGTGTAGTCGCCTTGCATCTTGGTTGAAGCATCCCGAACCAGGAAGGTCCCATCAGGCATGTCTCTGAGCTTGTCATTCACCTCCTCCCTGAAGACAGAACAGAAAAGAGGGAAAAACTGTGTTTGAGTTGGTTAAGTGCACACATGGTGTCCATTTGGAAAAGTCTGACTCCAGTCATCACTTGCAGACAATCAGAACTTGTCTCAAAGCCACACACAGGTCGTGGCCATGGCTAAGGTGGCACAGTGGATGTTCATGCAAGGTTGACGGTTTGATCCTGCCATGTGCTCAAGTATCCCCCGTCCCTGGCGTCACTGGTTTGTGAGTATGTGTGTGAATGCATGAATGAAAAACACATCGTAAAGCACTTTGTAAAACCTAGTTAAAGTAAACACACCATCAACTAAACTAGATGACTACATAAACTGAGCCTTGCCAACAATGTCTTACTTGAAAGAGGCTAACTGATTGGCTGCACTGGAGGTGTGGTTATCATCAGAGTATGTATGAATTTTGCCTGGCAGTTAACCTGCCCTTGGGGAAAAGAGACCAAGGCCCACACATTTAGGCCAATTTATGCAGCTGTAACATAAACTTGTCAGTGCTGGCTGGTCGACAATGTATCAAATGGAAAAAATGACCTTGAATATATATTTGTGTATATATATTTCGATATATACGCATCTGTGATAAGATACCACAGCCCAGTAATATCAGCTACCACAATCCTAAGACAAATAATGTACATGATTAGTTTTACTTGCCTGGATATGTCCCCCCAGTACCATTCAGCCTCTTGCAGTGAGCCTGCTGCTCCTCCATCCTTAGTACCATTGCTGCTGCCCCCTCCCACCCCAACTGTGGAGGGCTGCTGGGGCTTTGCTGGTTTTGGAGGAAGAGCTGAAGAATAGAAAGAGAGAATATGTTACAAGTGAGAAAGAGTTGGTATACAGTAGATATACTGTGCTACACAGACTTCAATCCTACAGTAAAGTTTAACTATTGATCCATGACTGCAGATGGAAAGGAGTTGTTGCAGTTCTAGTCCAACTATCTGGATAAATGTTACATGTAAAATCCATTTTTCAAATTCCATTAGCTAATCATTTCAGCATTTAGCATTCTCCCCCTTCCACTATGTGTTTTACCATTTTCGTTGCCCTGGGAAACAACTTTTCCCCCGGTGAATTACCGTAATTTCCGGACTATAAGCTGCTACTTTTTTCACACGCTTTGAACACTGCTGCTTACACAATGATGCGGCTAATTTATGGATTTTTATGAGTTTCACGAATTTACCTCGGGACGAAAGTGTGTGACGAAGCAATTCTGAGGCTGTTCAATTCTGACACTGAAGAAGACGACTTTATTGGTTTTAGTGCGCAGGAGGAAGATGAAGATAGCGATCAATGACTTTTCCTGGTAGGCTACTGTATTTTTAACTTTTTTAACCAGCCATGTTAAAAGCATTTATGGTCTGTATTTGTGTATGTTACCGGTACTTATTTATTTATGAGTTTAGAAAAATCTTTCTGTGTAAATATGTCATGTTACAATGTGGACACCTGCAGCTTATAGACAAGTACGGCTTATATATGTACAATTTTGTTTTTCTTTTTAAAGTTAGTGGGTGCAGCTTATATTTAGACGCACTCAATTATGGTATCTATTTAAATCACAGCACAAGTCTTTCAACTAAATGTTCCACCACAAGAATTCCACATGTCACTATTTGGAGGAAACCCCTAAGTCACATCCCTCGCTTAGCCTCGCTCACAACAACTGTAACTAGTTTAAAGAAACATAAACAAGCTAGACTGATTTTTGTCCAACAGCAGAATGATTGTGTGGTGCAGCCAGACCATTATGATCTACAGAATGGGTGGGCTAAGCATGACTACTGCACTTGAAACTCTTGATCACATCAGTCTACAGACATTTAGCTTTATTCAACCGCGTACACAAACTAGATAATTTTTCCAATAATTCTTGCACATGAAAACATCTCTTATGCAACTCATAGCACAAAGCAGCAGGGCAGCTCGTGACTGTATTGTTGTTAATCACACACATGAACAGCCTGTACACCTGCCAACACACCTTTTCTTCTTGAGTTTCCCCTGTCTTTGATCTCATTCTCCCACTGGGCTGCTAATGGGGAACTTCTTTACTTCAACTTGATCTTTCATTGTTGCTTTCACAGCAGAATATGGTGGAACTTCTGGTTTACTTTCAGAATTCTATTTGGAACTTAAAGTCATACTCCATTTTTTCAACATCACGCTAGAGCTGCAATGTTTAATTATTCAGTTGTAGGATATTAATTTAAGTGCCAATTGCTGTGGGTAATTCTGTGAGAAAAAAGTCAAAGTCTCTTTCAAAGTCTTTTTTTTATGAGAGTAAATGGAATATGTTTGGGTTGTGGACAAAACAAGATACTTGAGGCAGTCTTCTTGGGCTCTGAGAAGAACTGATCGACATTTTACAAGTCAAACAACTGACAGATTCATTCAGAAAATATTCTACAAATTAACTGACAATGAAAAGAATAGGTAGGTGCAGTCCTCAAAGATAGAGCAGAGGGTCAGGTAAAAACAAGTACTGATAAAAGTTTGTTTGTGAAATGCTATACAGTCTAATGAAAGATTTTGGAAGTCTAATTATTAAAGGATATTAAAGTTGGTATATTCTGCAGAGGAAAAAATCTGAGTTGAAGAAGAAGAAAAAAAAAATCAATCTGCATTTTCAGTCTTTCTCAAGCGATCATAATCATTTTGTAGACCAAATGTTGGTTTTGTGGTGCAAATAAGCAATCCACAAAAGCAGAAATGCAAAAACAGAATTTTTCATCATAATTTTTCTAATTAAACATTTTTTAGGCAATGTTACAGAACATTTAACATAAAGTCTAGTGTCTATGTTAAATAAAAAAAATTGGTTCATAGGAAAACCTCTGAAAAAATGAAGAAAAAAAAATTCAAACAGTACCTGATGCTACAAACAAAATAGGTTAATCAGTTTTGGAGTGATAGCAGCTTCAGATCTTCTGGCATTTAAACACGGAGAAACACAGGCACAGTCTGCACCTTTAAATGTAATTAATAAAATAGAATATTTCTGAGGGTAGCCTGGCACGCAGGCGCACGCACACACACGCACACAAAGCTAAGTTAGAAGTATTCTCTGGGAACACTGTGGCCTCACAAATTATCATATGACATGCCACAGATGGCACACTTGACTTTTACTTCACATTTACTGTGCTACTGTATCCCAACAAAAACTTAAACACAGTTTGGCTCGTTTTCTGTTAACATTCCGCATCTATGAAAAACTGTCCCTCAACAGTAAAAAGGTTGTATTTAAAGTCACAATTTTTGGCCACTGGGAGCAACAGATCTATTTGAGGTCAACTAACGGACTTTCTTCTCTCTCAAGTTTCATTATGGAACTGACATGTAGCCTGTTGTGATTCAGCTTACTATATTTAAATGTATTGTCCTAATTTGCTTTGACACAACCAGAATGGTTATGCAGTAAAGAGTCCTCCTTTGGGACAAAGAGAGGGGTTTACAGCTTGTGCATACAGTCTCATACAAACTTATAGGTATCATGCTCCATACAATTTTTACTTCGTAATCGATGTGATTTCTACATATTACTCAACCTAAATCTGTTTAGAGCATGCAAGGCAATCAAAAACCAAAGAAAATACACAATTTGCCTTTGTTAAAAAAAAAAAGAAAGAAAGAAAGAAATTGAAAATAAGCTTTAATTGTTGAAACTATTCACATCCCACAAATTTGTCTTTTCCTTTTTTGTTTGTATGACCTCCTTAACAAAGAGTGACAACAGGAACACAGTAGCAGCTCGTTTCCCTTTTCTGTTGTCTTTGTTCTCCTCCGGCCCTACTGCGTTTCTGAGTTTTCCCTCTCCCTGACACTTTGACACTGCTCACTTCTTGCCACTCCCCCTCCCATCACCATGGCAGTCAGTTACTGCTGCCAAAACTGTCATTGTGCAGCTGCACTGTTGCCTTCTGTCAGCGCATTATTGACTCAAGCGCACATGTGTACATGTGGAAATCCACTTCATGCTTTTAAAAAAAAGTTTGTGCAAGTAGAATAAATCATTGAAGCACATTTTTTCTTCTATTATCTAACATAAATGTAACACACTGTACTGAGCGTGTGTTGTGCCCAGTGTTGAGGTACATGAACCACACAAAGGACAGCACATAAAAAGATAATTATAAATATTTTCGTTAGCAGTTAATCCAACCTTAACCTGACTTTACCAATTAGTCAAAAAATGTATTGATATGCATATAGTTTTACTTTGCTAAAGTCATTGGAGCATCATTTCAAAAGCCCAGTTCATTACAAAGACAAAGAAATAATAGAAAATGACGATTTCACACAACAACAACAAAATTGATGATAAACAGAAGTGATCACTATTTTAAAATTCAACCTCACCAATAAATGTGTTATTTTTGCATAGCTTGTTTTTTCCCCCGCACATCTACAACAACAGGACAATGAACAGCACCAACACACAAAAACACATGCGCATGTACACAGTCACACACAAGTCTTTTGTTGTTGCATTTCATTAAAAATGTTCAACACATTCGAGTCAGTGATCTCTGGAGAATCCACAGAGCCCTACGCACAGCACAGTGAACAATACTTGGGAAAAGTCTGTTCTTTTGTTCTGCATTAAACCAGAAAAAACTTAGAAATGACAACTGTCCTAAACACGAGCACACATTAGGAAAATGTCGAAAAAATATATAAACTACTACTTCAACACAGCAGCTGTCTTTTGAAACAGTCACAATTACTTCATGAAATACAGAAGGAGAGCAAAAAGGATGAACAAAGGGGAGCGTCAGTGCAGCCTCCCCCTCCATCCCTCCCCCCACCCCTCACCAGACAAAGGAGCAGCGCTCAGCCACACACACTTCGATATCACTTGTCATCACACATGCAGGCAGAAACCCACAGCTCTCCTGAACAATGACTGTCAACACAGACTGACTTACACACGACAAACACACATACTTGACACAAACTGAATGCATTGGTACAGATCTTAGAGGATCTTTGACAACACAGCAAGTATTAAAATCACATCTGTGCATGCTTCAGCTGATCAGGGCAACAGTCTTGTGTCAAGGCAGTAGAGGAGTGACCTCGCAAAACAACAATCTTGACTGCAATGTTTACGGCAACAAGAGTTCATACACACCAGTGAAATTACTGCGCAGACTGCAAAAGCAAATAAAAACTCAAAACATGTGCCATGAATGAACTATTCCAAAGAAATCTGCCTCTCAATCTGTTTCATTTCCACAGATTTACATCAGGAAGGAAGGAGCTGCAGGTGGTGTGTGTGTGTGTGTACATGGGTGCATTTTAAGCATAAGATTCTTTCTTTATCAAACTAGAAACAGATTTCTGCCACATTATAGCAGCAACTCAGTCGAATGTCTTTGATTGTTTTCATAACAAAGTGTCAGAGTTGAGTTTGAAACCAGAGAGTGGTTGGCATTTTTACTTAGTAACTGGGATTTGCGTTGGACAAATTGATATTTGAAGCATTAATTCCATCAAAGTTTGAGAGTATATAACACACTGAGTAAAAATGACAAAATAACAGCAATTCTGCACACACACACCGCAGGTTTTGAAAGAGGAATGAAAGAAGGGGCTGCAATGTCAGGAAAAAAGGATGAAGTGAAACTAGCAAAAAAATACAGATAAATGGATACAGAACCGTAAAAGAGAGTTAAATAACTGACAAAAGCAAAAAGGCTGCAAAAAAAAAAGAAGAAAAAAAACAGACCCAAAAGAATACATCAAAAGAACAAGTCTGTCATGTTCCATCTCTTACCGTCCACCACCACTGCATTCTCCATTAGCTGCATGCTGCCACTCATCTCTCAGCTGTTTCCTTCTTCCCTCCTTCTCTGTATCTCACTCACACTTCCTCTCTCTTAGTTGCTCCCTCTCCCCTCCTCTACCTCCTCCTCCACCGCCACCTCCTCTTCCTGCTGCTCTCCACTCCGTCAGACTGAAGAAAGGAGGGAGCAAGACTGAATCTAAAAGACAGATGACGCGCTTACTAATCTTTGCTTGGAGGCCCGCCTCCTCGGCCAATCAGGACACTGCCAGGAGTGTGTGTATGTGTGTTTGTGTGTGTGCGTATGTATGAGTGGGGGAGACCTCATGAAAGAAAGAAAGAAAGAAAGAAAGACTTGAGGGAAATTTGCCTGTGTTACAGTTGCTCCCATTGAAAGTCTTAGAAATATAAACAGTGTAAAAATAGATAAAAAACAAGAATATGTCCTAAAAATATAAAGTATAAAAACATAAGCATAAAATGCAAAAGGTGCATTTTCTAAGGAACTAAAATATAAGTATACAATATAATTAATAGTGTGTTATCGCACAGAAATATATACTTACCCTGTGGTATACCCATTGTACACTGCACAGTCATGCACACACACACACACACACACACACACACACACACATCCAACAGAGCAGCATAAGTCCTAAATCAACAAACCGTATTAAACACAGTGCAACTAGTAGCTGAATGTGTGTGTACAAGGCCATTTTTCTTTCATTCACTCTTATTTCACATGTCATCAAATGTCTTCTTTAGTCCAACCAAACAATCAAAAAAATGGGAAGCCATACATTTTCCAATTTGAGAAGCTAGAACCAGATATCTGGCTTTCTGGCTAAAATAACTGTACCTTGAATTGATATTCTTTCGTGAAAAAAGATATTTCTAATGTTAATAAGGAATTTTAAGGTGCACCCTGGCTTATACTCAGACAGTTTTGTCTTTATATCTGAACTATATGATGTTTTGGAATATATTTGTCTTAACTGAGATTATGACCCTGATAAAAATATTTTGTCTCTCAGTGACAAATATGAACAGCAGACATTCAAAAGATTATATCTCTTATAGACCACATGTCAATCCATTCCATGGATGATGATTAACTCATGTATGTAAAGAAGTGTTGACATTTCCATGGTCCATGAATGATGCCACAGACCTACTCAGCTGCCGTCCTTTATAATAAACATGCTATGTCTATACTATTGGTCTTTTTTCCCATATATTTTCCAAAACTGAATGCATAAAATTTTTTAAAATTTTAACAGTTTTTTTTTTTACTTGCCAAATCTAAGTGTGATGTGCAAATGAAACTGAACCTTATAAAAACAGATTTTTACAATTTAAATGTACTGGTGTTCGTCCATCCCAGCAGCTATTATGTCTGCCTTGTAGAGCTGTCCTTGAAATAGAAATGTATTATAAACTTATGTGTTCTCCAGTGTCCAGGAAAAAAAAAAAAATATATATATATATATGTATATTTCAATATCTGGTGCTTTATAGAGACCAATAAAACTATATTTACATTCACCCAACTGGTTGAGGCAGATGGCCGTCCCTCCCTGAGCCTGGTTCTGTCGGAGGTTTTTTTCCCCTGTGGGGGTTTTCGGTTCCTTCCCACTGCTGCAGACTGCTTTTGGACTGCTGAAGCTTATAGGGAATCCAAATGTTTTGGATTGTTGCGTGTTTCTGTCTCTGCCTTTGTGAAGCGCTATGAGATGACTTGTTGTTGTAAATATGTGCTATACAAATAAAATTGAATTGAATTGAATTGAATATGAAGGTTGGGCAACAGATTATGAAATTAACAAGAGTATGGATAAAGATGTTTAATTAATAATTAATGTTTCAAAACCATGAATTCAGACAACGGAAAAAACAAAACAACAATAAAAAACAACAACAAAAAAAATGTTTCCACTAAAAGAACGACTCTGACACTAACAAGTAATCAACTGATTAATTGCCTCAGGAAAGGCAGCTCTACTGCTGCTATTGATGTGAAGGTTACATTGCAGTTGCAGGGCAAGTCAATGTCAAGTTGAGCACAGAGAGATGTACAAAATTTGCAACGCAATATCACAACTGCACAAAATCAAATAGAAAATTGGAATGAAGACTCATATAAGCAGGTTTCAAGTCTGTGGTTTACATGCTGAGTAGTTGTGACTAGAACCTGCCAGGAAGAAAGAATAGAATGACTAAAGTAAAGTAATGTACAGTACGTGGAATATGCTGTAAATGGGGTAGACATGCAAAACAAACAAAAAAAAAATACTGGTATGGTCCTTTTGCAATAAAGCCCAGTGCTTTTCCACTGAAAGTTGAGACTCATTCACCCCACATCCAAACACACAGTCGCTTCACACTCACAGTCATCAGTGCAATCACAGGCCTTGCCCTCCCCTGGTGGGAGCATTGACACTCCACCTGGGCTAATCACTCTGCAGAAACGACTGTACAAACACACGGATTTACACACTAACTGTCAGTGAGGCATTCACATTTAAATTCCTGTGGAATAAATATTGCTAGTCTACTGTTCTCCCTACTTATCTCCTCATCAGTCTCTTCCTCTGTCCTTTTTCCCACTTTTACTTTTTTTTTTTTATTATCCTGGGTCACCATTGCTCCGTGTCTGTCGCCTGTTTTTGCGAAGACAAACACACATGTACACTCTGAATACTATGAAACAAAGAAAGCTAAGTCAGAATAAGATGCAGAGGTTTAGCTGATGTGATTTATGACAGGGTAAGCTCATTCAGGCAACTTAAGTGAGGGACACACACAATGGACTGAAAAGATCACCATAATTGTACAACATAGTGTGGATATGAGGTACAGAAGAAGGGCATTTGCATTGTCAAGACACCCACATCACACGGCCACATAAGAAAAGGGCAGGGGTGATTTTATCCACTTTTAACACCAAATCCTCAAGCATCCTTCACTGGCAACTACCCAGATTCATTCGGATTGCTCTAAATGTCTTACATTCTTCACTAACAACACAATTCAGGACAAATGCATTCTCCAAAAAGCATCTTTGTGTATATTTCTATATTTGCTGAATACACTATTCATCACATGGAAAGTGCATAAATGGTGTGCTAAACTAGGATAAAATTCAGGAAACATGTATTATATTTTAAGCCATGACAGTGACCTCACATGAATTCAGTAATGACTGAATGCCTCTTGGTGCCATATAAGACAAGGTCCAATGCCAATTAAGAGTGTGAATCTCTTAACTGAAACCAGCAAAGAGCCAGTGTTTTTCATTTAGATCCCAAGCGCATTGAGGGGCACTGTCCATTACCTCTACTGTAGCTCTGACAAAAGGCAAGCAAGAAAGACAGTATTCAGAAAGAAAGAAACAAAGACAGACAGAAAGAAAACATTTTTTTCTCTCCAGTAGCAAAATTAAAAATTACAAAGACCAGTTTAAAAGGGCACACAAAGGTTTGAGATACTAAACCAGTCCATTTCTGTACCTCAAAACAAAGAATCCACACGGCACTTGAGGATGCAAGATCTGACTAGACAATGTAAGCAATTCACGCAACTGAAATCATATTTCTCTCCTTGTTGACACAAATTTTACATATTGTGAACATGTCTTTAAAAAAATCCTTAGTAGAGTTCAAATCTATGCCATCTAAAGGTAAAAATATTTTTTTTGATCAATCGTCTTAACCTTTTTTTGTCTTTGTTTGTTTTTTGGTTTGTTTTTTTTTGCATTATCTCTGAAATTGCGACAGATAACACAAAATACTGCTCTCTTTGGTGTCTGCAGAGCTTACAGTAAATCTCAAGAAATAATAGGGGAAAAAAGACAATGGAGGGGGAAAAAAAGGACAGAGCTACCGGGCGAGCTGCATTGAACAGCGCCTCCTGGAAACAAACCAACGTCCCACATCTGCGCCATGATCCATTCAGCGCACCGAGGGGAGGGGGGATCAAATGACACTGGCACAATTGCCGAGGAATGAATGAATGACTGAATGAATGAATGAATGAATGAATGAAAGAAACATTTTCAATTCTGGGTGACAGTTGGCCAGAAAAGCGCACAGCGTTGTAGATGTGTCATTGAGGGATGTTAGAATTATAAAATGTTTGGGATCTTCATTATTGTAGTCCCTCTGTTTTCTATATCCCATCCCCCCTTCCCCGCTGTCAGCACCGGGCAAAGCTGATTTGGGAATGATCCAGATGTAGCTCTTTCAGCTATCCTCGTTTATGGTTATTGCATTATCGCCTAAAATTGATGACATGCCACCTTTTGCCTTTTTATTCAACATATCGCCTTATCTCTATGGATGAATGACAAGGATTTTGGCTACTTCCATGTCCACACAACATGGGCTTGTCGTCTTTCAGCGCAGGTTTAGTGAGCAGCAGCCACTCCGTCAACCCACACCAGCATAGAAACATACAAAAGAGCGTTTCGGCTGCATCGGATGCACGGGAGAGCAACAGACAAGAAGCAGGCTGTAATATATCTGAAGTGATGCTGAAAACTCTTATTATAGCTGATTTGAAGGCTGCATTGTTTTATTTAAGCTCGAGTTGTTGTGTCTCACTACAACACGAGAGGACAATGCTAGGCTGATGTACACTTTCGGGCAATGTAACCGTAGCAATTAGGATTCACTGCCAAAACGAACAGTATCACAATTGATCAGACACACGTGAAACGTCAAATACCGTTCAAACTGGCAGCAGGTCATACGCTTTAAAACTTTCCAACAATTGCAATAAACACCTCACCAAGCACTTCCACCGTGTCCTCGGTTAACCACATCCAGTCTGCTCTCCCCGGCCTTACCTGGCGGTTGGTCCATTTCCAGATAAAAGATCAGTTCGGTGGAGTAGGGCATCATCACGTCCCTCCAGTCTGCTTCCTCGCCGGCATTTTCCGTTGTCCAAAATGTATTATACATTGCGGTCTTGTGGCTTATCCTGATAGTCTTTCTCCACACACACACACAAAAAAAGCTATGTGAACGGGTAAAAATGTCAGAAGTGACGTATTTATAAAACCATAGTCGACGAGATGCGCTATCTATCTATCTATTTGGAGGTGTTCTACCGGAATCCCTGCTTCAGAATGGAATAAATAGCTGAAATGTATACAGCGAGCACCAGGCTGCGACTGCTCCCTCCGACATAATAATAGTGGTCGTAACTTGGGGCTCTTCATGGAGGCCCTCTATATATGTAAATGTAAGTATAAAACGTCCTTTAAACGGTGGCCAAGTAAATGCCAACTGTACATTTCAGTCCCCTCTCCTTCTCCTCCGCAAGTCTCGTCTTCTTTCCGTCTTCATTTTAAGAAGAACACTGGCGAGAGGTGGCTGGCAGCGGCTGGCAAAGGCTTGGGACAAACCACTTCACCAAAGTTTACAGGGGAGGACACAAAACGCTTCTTCCCATAACATACCGAAATAAATGTAAGTGGATCATTGTCGTAATGCACGATAACAAGCTACGTGTACAAAATACGATTATCTACCTTTTAGAGGAATAACAATCCTCTATTGTGTCTGCATTTCTTAAATGCTTGGTCAAACCTTTCTCATACGCTGATTGGTCAGCCCCTTTCTTTCCCGTGCCAAAGCTGACCGAACTTCTGTATTCAAGCCGAGAGGCTAAATTTTAAAGCCAACAGGAAAATGACTTCAGCCTCTGAAAGCAAGATCCATTTTTTTCAGTAAGCTCCTCATCCTCCTCCTGACTGTATGTGACTACCACCATAACAATTGCATTGAGACTACAAGTTATTCAAATCTGTTTATTTCAATTCTACGGAGCCCGTCTGGTGACATCGATAAGAAAAAAATTAATTCGTTCCCACGCATTAGTAAATCGTGGCCATGAGTTATTAATGCGTGGGAACGACATAGTTAAATTGTGGCCTCGCAATACTAATATAAAGAAACAAGAGAAGTTGTGGAGCAAATTTCACAGTGTGGTCATACCAGCTGTCGATTAAGGATAACGGGCGGACTTGCATGAAACATGGAGCATTTTGATTTGATTTCATTTTATTTTAACCTTGGAATGAACTACACCGATATCCTGCGATCTCTTGCGATGAAACACCGTGTGATAATTATGTCGTTCCCACGCATTAATAACTCGTGGTCACGATTTACTAATGCGTGGGAACGACTTATTTTTATTTCTTATCGATGTCACCAGACGGGCTCCGTACAATTCAGATCAGCTCAATTCAGTTTATTTTAAACTGCTGTGCTGACATTAAAGGTTCAGGAAAAAATATTGCCAATGCACCAAAATATAATTTGTCCAAATATTTGGACAGTACACAATAATAGCAAATTTACAACTGATAACTCTACAACATTAAAATCGCTATATATCAATAATGCACAGTGTGTACAGCATATCCTTTGCATGTGTTGTGTGTCTCCATCATCCTAAATCTCTACAGCTATAGTTTGTTCACTTTTCATGTTTAAGGCCAGAGGAGGAAAAATGCCATTTACAAAACAAACTACTGTGAAGTAAGTGCAGTTAAAGAAAAATGATATGGAGGCTTAATCATTAGCTTACGCATGCTAACGGTGCAAACATGTCTTTAAGAAGTATGTTATAAAGGGATTGCTGCACACACATCAAAACAGGCACCTGCTAAAATGAATATTGTGTATTTGCATGATTGTGGGTTAGGGTCTGTTTCAGGACTCTTTTTTTTAGGGCTGCTTATGTTCAAATTTAATTTTTTAAAGCTGATAAAATACGTATTTGTTAAGTGTTTTTCGATTCACAATGGGTCAAATAACAATGTCTTTTGGAAAATGGGTTCCTTGTACTAACACAGTGCATTATCACCTGACTTTACCCTCAGCTCTAGGCCTTTCAAGTGTCTTCAGATCATTATTTTGATAACACTTAACGTTACAGTTCAGTCACTGTCGTATTGGCAGTCGTGAGTGAAAAAGTTTGAAAACTGGAAAAAAAAGAAAGGCTTCCTGCTCAATACTGAACAGCAGACAGACAATGTGAGCAACTACCTGTTGAAGAAAGTGGAGCATGCAGCTACGGAGCCTTTGGAGTTGGTAGAGGCCAAAAACTGAGCTGAATGGAGAGTGAATATTTGATTTCAGTATTGATCACGTGGACAGAAACACCACTTAAGATCAATGCTAATATTGCTAAGTGCAAGTTTTCTATTAGGCAGCTCTTTGCTAGTTTCTTGTCATTCAACTAAGAAAGTGACATGTCTAGGTTGTGTTCACAGCTTGTTTGTGTTGCTGCTCCCAATTGCCTCCAACATTTAGTTTATGAATAAAATCTAATCTGCTTGGGTTCAGCTCTACTTGCTCACAGGTAGGTGTCATTATCTGTAATATCCAATGGTGCTGACCTGCTACTAGCTTTAATTGGTTGTAATTATGACAGAGGAAAAATATGTAATTTTAGAGCAACATTGATTTTTGTACTTCTATATTGTTTGTTATGACAGCGGCTTGTTAATTTGTTGTATCATGCTGCTACTAGTGTTTGTGTTGTCTCTCTGTTTGGGTCCTGAGGTCTATTCATATCAAGTCTGACCATCCTCTTTGAATCCTTTGCTATCAAGTACCTTTTATAAAAAATGTATGCAGATGTGGTTTAGGGACATTTTTAGATCTGTGTCAGAACAGGTCCAGAACATTAAAGTGGCAAAGTTAGTGAAGCAGAACTTTGATGTGTTTGAGCAGGAATTTGCAGACACAAATATTAGGACATGATGAGTTTATTGACATATACTCATTACAAAGAATGTTGGAAATGTGACTTTACAATAGTAACATAAAAAATGTGAAACTTTGAGCATAAAACTCTCGCGATCAGCAAACTATTCCACAGTAGAGGGATTTAAAACTGAAAAAAGAACACTGGCATCGTCATGAGCAGCTGCGCCATAGCACACAGTTGAGACCCAGACAGGCGCAGACTTCCCCCCCGCCAATTCAGTCACATGGTATTCTCCTACTAACAGTCTAATATCAATACAATGTCTTCAGATGGGGGCTGCTACCACCAGTAATTACAGCTGCTCTGTCTATCTGCCTGCCTGGTGTCCTAATTCATGGAGCCACCATAAATGAAAGGTCTGCTCCCCAATCTGCCATCCAATCATTCTGACCTCGCTCTACATTCAACCACCCACTCATCCATCCATCCGTCTATCAATCCATCCCCTCCCTAAATTCATCTGGCCATCACAAGAGAAAAAGGGGAGGAGGATGAAAGGTCCTCTCAACTGCTGTTGCAAGAGGACCTTTCAAAAAAAGAAAAAAAAAAGCAGAGGGGGGCCGGGCAAATGTCAGTGAATGAAATCTGTTTAATGCAGCAGACACAGACACGACTGTGTTTGTCTGTGTGTGTGTGTGTGTGTGTGTGTGTGTGTGTGTGTGTGTGTGTGTGTGTGTGTGTGTGTGTGTGTGTGTAAGTGGGTGATTCTTTCACAGATGGCTCGTGCCGGACACACAGCCTAAAGAGCCTCTCTGTCAAGTGTGTCAAACAGGTTTAATTGCTGTTGTGCTGTGCTGTGCTGTGCTGTGCTGTGTGTGTGTGTGTGTGTGTGTGTGTGTGCATGGCAGATGGATACCTTACAATGACACAGAAATTGACTCTGCCCCACGTCATACAAAAGAGAATGAGGAAGGAAAAAGGAGGGGCAGGTGAAGGGAGGGTGATGATAAGAACAGCAGTATTACTCTGTATTCTTCTCATCCATTGGCACATTGCTCCCCATTTAACCTTCTCAACAATAGAGCAGAGTGGCATCAAGTGGTCTGTTTGTATAGCAAATGCATAATCACATATGAAGCATAACCATCTATAAATTATTCCCTCCCACCACTCTATATAAAGCCTCAAATTCTAATTATGTTTCCAACCATCTGTTTAGGTGCATTATGAATGTGCATATAAAAAACAAGCTGAAAAAATCCCCAACAGTTCTTGAAAACTTTTTAAAGCTGAGCTGATAATACAAAAATACAGTTGGTATTTGGAATAAATGCTGATTTAGTGAAACCTACACTTGAGCTTCTATTTTGTAGCATTATCATACTGCTGTCACTGGTGACTGTAAGTCCACTCTGTTAAAAAAAAAGAAAAAAAAAAAAGTAGGAGGGGTTCACAAACCATCTGTCATTGGATTAAAGGCTTTCTGACAGATCACTCCAAAAAAGTAACAGTAGGTTCCCAGTTCTCTCAGCAATCAGGCTGAACATCGGCTCACCATTGGGCTGTGTTCAGTCCCCTACTTTTCATTATGTACATCCATAACTGCATTCCCACCCAAATCAACACTGCCATCATCAAGTTGTCCCACTGCGGTGGGACTCATCTCTATAGGGGATGAGGTGGCTGTCTGTGTGATGTACAGAAAGCAGCCAGGTCCTAGACACCTTTAAAATCAAAGAATGGATCATAGATTTCAGAAAGAATAAATCTATACTACACTCCATCCACCTCAATGGGGATTGCATGGAGAGGGTTTCCAATTTCAGGTTTCTGTGCAAACATATAGACGATATCCTGGAACACAACTCTAGTGTGTTTTTACGAAGGCCCAGCAGAGACTCTGTTTCCTCAAGATCCTCAGAAAGAACAACTTGGTAGAGAAACTGCTCGGGTTCTTCTGCCACTGCTCTGTTGAGAGTGTTTTGAGCCACTGGTTTGCCAATTGCTCCTCAGCAGACAGAAAAACACTTCAGAGGGTCACCTCCCTGCCACCCAGAAGATCATCGACTGCCCTTTCCCATTCCTAACAGACATCTACAGCTCCTGCTGCCTTAGATGTGCCTGCAGCATCCTCGGGGACTTATTTAATCCCGGAAATCACCTGTTTGAACTGTTACCCTCTAAAAGGCACTGCAGGGCAATTTAATCTAGGGCAAACATACTGAAAAACTGTTTTTATCCTAAAGCTGTCATGGCACTTAGCTCAGCTTTGATCACACTGGCCAATATAAAAAATGCTATATGCAATATTTTGATGGGAAAACCACAATAATGACACAATCATATGCAATAATTGTGTACCCATATAAATTTTGTGCAATATTATGTTTTAGGTGCAGCACACAGCATCCAACTACCTTTGTCTACCTCCCTTTTTATAATATTTTCTTATTTTATTCTTGTATATGTACAGTCATTGAAAAAAAATATTAGACCACCCTTGTTTTCTTCAATTTCTTGTTCATT